TCTCTCTCTCTCTCTCTCTCTCTCTCTCTCTCTCTCTCTCTCTCTCTCTCTCTCGCACGCGCGCGTGCACACACACACACACACACACACACACACACACACACAATTTAGATTTTGCATGTGGGAGAACACAATATCTATCTTCCTTAGTATGGCTTATTTTGCTTAAAATAATTTCTTGCCTCATTCATTTTCTGCATATGTAATTTCATTTTCCCTATACCACTGTATGAAATCCTATTGTGTCTATATGCCATACCTTTTTATTCATTTATCTGTTGATGGACAATAGATTGGTTCTGTATATTGGCTACTATGAATAATGCAGAAACAAACTAGTTAAGTTCTCTTGGTATTTACCCAGCAACAGTATAGCTGAATCATACAGTAGTTCTTGATTCTAGGTTGTTGTTTGTTTGTTTGTTTGTTTGTTTTTTAAAGCAATTTCCATAGTGATTTTCATAGTGGCTGCACTTGTTTACTTTCCAGTCAGCAGTGTATAAGTGTTAATCTTTGCTCACATCCTCACAAGCTTTTTTTTCCTGGATGACAGTCATCCCTATTGAGAGGAGATGGAATCTTAATATTCTTAATTGTGGGATGACTCATGCCTCACAGGCTTGAGGGCCAGATGGCCCAAACAAGTAAAAAAGATACTTTCTGAGAGCCAGCCTGGGTCTGCCTGATGGCCTTAGCAACAGCAGCTGAAACATGATCTGGAGATGACCTGCACCAATGAGAGCCAGCCATGTCACACCAGCAGATGCATATTCATCTGACCTCCCCCCAGGGTGGGGTGGAGGGTATATAAGGCTTGCCTTTTCCTAAATAAACTGAGCTTGTTTCCACATTCTCCTGGAGTCTGTGTGGTTTGACTCTGTGCCTACTTGACCCCTGCACCCAAAGGGAACAACAGCAAGGACCCTGCTACACTTAATATCTATTTTCCTCATGGTAAGGAAGTTGAACACATTTTTAAATATTTATTAGCCATTTATATTCCTTTCATTGAGAACTTTCTTTCTTTTTTAAAGCTTATTTATTTTATTTTAAATTTTTCATTCATTTTACATACCAACCACAGTTCTCCCTCCCACTCCTCCTCCTGTACCCTCCTCCCAAAGGGTAAGGCCTCCCATGCGGAGTCAACAAAGCCTGGTACATTCAGTTGAGGCAGTACCAAGGCCCCCCTCCATGCATCAAGGCTGAATAAGGCATGCCATAATAGAAAATGGGCTCCAGAAAGCCAGCTCATGCACAGGGACAGATCCTGGTCCCACTGCCAGGGGCCCCTCTAACAGACCAAGTTACAGGACTGTCTCCCACATGCAGAGGGCCTAGTTCAATCCCATGCAGGCTCCACAGCTGTCGTTCTAGAGTTCCTGAGTTCCCATGAGCTTGGTTCAGTTGTCTTTGTAGATTTCCCCATCATGATCTTGACTGCCCCTTGCTCATATTATCCTTCCTCCCTCTCTTCAACTGGACTCCCACAGCTCAGCCCAGTCCTCCACTGTGGATCTCCGCATCTGCTTTCAACAGTTATTGGATGAAGACTCTATGATGACAATTAGGGTAGTCACCAATCTGATTACAGGGGAAGGCCAGTTCAGGCACCCTCTCCACTATTGCTACTAGTCTAAGCTGAGGTCATCCTTGTGGATTTCTGGGGATTTCCTGAGCACCAGATTTTTTCCTAACCCCATAATCACTCCCTTTATCAAGGTATCTCTTTCTTTGTTCCCGCATTCCATCCCTCTCCCAGCTCCATCATCCTGTTCCCTCATAATCTCATCCCCCATCCCCTCCCCTCTACTTCCCCCCCGCCGCCAGTTTGAATTCATTTACTGTATTTATTTATGTATTTACTGGATGAGAATATGGGGGTTGCCTGAGAGTTGTAGTGTTTAAATTTTAGAAAAAAAAGTTTTAAAATGAGTATTATAATTTGCAAATATGATATGAAATTTAGATTTCATTGTATTAAAAAAAAACTTTACCTGAATGTAGCCTTGATGGTTTATGTCTGTTTATCCTATGGCTGATGGGACAGGATAGGACATATACAGCAGAGTGGTGGCGCCTACCTTTCAGCTTGCAAAGTGTCATAGTCTCCCTCTGGTCCTTTTCAGTGCCACTATCCATTTTTTTTTTTAATTTTAATTTATCTATTTTACATTCCCGTTGCAGTTTCCCCTCCCCCCTCTCTTCCCAGTCCCTCCCCCACCCCACTCCTGTTCCCACACCCCTAATACACTCTTCCTCTGTTTCTGTTAAGGAAAGGGCAGATCTCCCATGAGTATCAGCAAAACATTGCATATCAAGCTGCAGTAAGACTAAGTACTTCTGCATGTATTAAGGATGGGCAAGGTGACCCAGGATGAGGGGTAGGTTCCCAAAAGTAGGTAAAAGAGTCAGCGACAGCCCCTGTTCCCACTGTTAGGAGTCTCACAAGAGGACCAAGCTACACAACTGTAACATATATACAGAGTATATATATATATATATATATATATATATATATATATATATATATATTATATATAGTAGTTCAGTCCCATGCAGGCCCTTGGTTGTCAGTTCAGTCTTTATGAACCCCTAGGAGCCCAGACTACTTGATTCTTATGGTTTCCATGAGCCCTCTCATTCCTACAATCCTTTCTCCCCCTCTTCTGCAGGACTCCCCAAACTCTGCCTAATGTTTGGCTGTGGGTTTGCATCTGTTTCCATCAGTTGCTGGAAGAAGCTTCTCTAATGACAGTTGGGCTAGGTACCAATTCTGGCACATCCCACAGGCAGGACAAACTGTAGGTCAAAGGTTATGTGGCTAGGTTGGTTTCCTACTTCCTCCACTTGAAGTCTTGCCTGGTCACAGGAGATGGCCAGGTCAGGCGACATATCCCCTATTGCTAGGAGTCTTAGCTGGGGTCATCTTTGTAGATTCCTGTGAGATTCTGCCGGGATTTTACCTAATCCTAAAATGCCCTCCTTTTTCCAGTAGTCTTTTTCAGTACTCTCTCCCTCTTCCCCCACATAAAAACCCTTCCACAAGCTGATCACTCATGTTCCCATCCCCACCTGCCCTCAGTCCACTTACAAAATGACTTCTATTTCCCCTTCCCAGCGAGATTCAGATGTCCTCCCCATGAAGCCTCCTTATTACATCATCCTTATGGGTCTGTGGATTGTATTACAGTTATCCTTTATTCTATAGCTAATATCCACTTATGAGTAAGTACATACCATGTCTGTCTTTCTTGGTCTGCGTTGACTCACTCAGGATGATTTTTTTTTTTCTAGTTCCATACATTTGCCTTCAAATTTCCTGGTGTCCTTGTTTTTAACAGTTAAGTAATACTCCATTGTGTAAATGTACCATATTTTCATTATCCATTCCTTGGTTAAAGGACACATAGGTTGTTTCCAGGTTCTGGCTATTATGAATAATTCTGCTATGAACATAGTTGAGCAACTGTCCTTATTGAGCATCTTTTGGGTATAGCTGGGTCTTGTGGTAGATTGATTCCCAGTTTTTTGAGAAACCACCACACTGTCATCCAGAGTGGCCAGTTCTCATTTTAGATGCTGACTTTTAGCAATGTTTAAGTTAATCTTTTTGCATCTTACTCTCTTACAAAGAAAATACAATGCCGTGTTCTGTTTCCCCAGAGCTGCCTAAATCTTGTGCTTCCTAACATCAGAGATAGTGAATACATTAGCAACAATCAAATAATCAATCTAAAAGACAAGCTATTTCCAGCTAACATAAGCTGCACAATCGAATGTGAAGGCAGAATAAAGTCCGTATGGGACACGTGTGGACCACTAAATTAGCACAGCCTCTCAAGGCAACGTTCTCAGACAGCAAAGGGGTGAGGTAGGCAGAAGAGGTTTTATGGAATTCAGAATACCGAATGACAATAGCAGAGTGTGGCTTGGGTAAAACAGAGCAAAAGGAAATTAGAAGGGAATCCACTGGAGCTTGACACACAAAGCATTTTCATTTGAGCAAGAATTAATATCAGAATCATATTCCCTTCTCTATCAGTTCAGCCATGCTGCACAGCTCGAGTGAACGATAGCCATATAACAATCAAGTGAGAAATACTGGCTTTTATTCTGCTCAAGTTATCAGACTTAGTCAATGGACAGAAAGGCACCAGGATGATTTGTACTTATAGGTCAGAAAATATATTTGATATAGTTGTTAATAAAACTGTGACAATAGAGTTCATATAGTAGTGTGGTTCTGTGAAAATGTTCATATTTCTTGGTGAAGTGGCTCCAGCTGGTGAGGAAATTCAAGCTCTGGAAGCTGTGAAGCAAACTTGTTTTTCATTCATACTTTAGACATTCTGTTGTTTGGCCTTATACACTGTACTAAGGGTAACCAGTTCTCATCTTCTTCGACTGCGCACAGTGCTAGCTGACATTGGCTGGGTGACAGCAGATGGGATGAGGAGCAGGCAGGAGGATCAGAAGTTCAGGGTTATTCTTGCCTGTATGGTGTATTCCAGGATAGCAAGCAAGGAAGGAAATGAAGGAAAAGAAAAGAAGGAAGGAAACGTTAAAAAGACAGCAAAATTGTCATCAGATCAATTCAGTAACAAAGTGGTAGAACTGTAGCTAAGTTAAACTACCCTCTACATATCCACCTTGGGCTAGCACTGAGAATGGGCATTTCCGGGCCTATGTTGGCCCAATGGAAGGACAGGGTCTCTGTTCGAGAAGCCTTGCTTGCTCTACCATTGTTGCTTGTAGATAAGAATAGATTACCTTGACCCAAGGCTGTTCTGTGGTCAAGGTATTACAAACAAATGATTGATAGGAACACAGAATATTTGAGTCAAATGATGTTATTTATGGATTGAGTGAGGTTAAATTTTGGCCTGATGACCCAAGTGGGCCGCTGGGTAAATGGAAGAGCATTGATTGGTGAGGTAAGAGGTCAGTCTGGGTCAGCTTTAGCATGGGATATAGATTTTGACTGTTAGAATATGCCTCCTAGAGTTCAGTTTATCCCAACTCTCTATGAGCAGTCAAGGTTATCATAAACTAACCTATTTCTACATACAGCCAATGAAGAAGGGACTGGAGTCTCAAAGCCAAGATCTTTCCTAAGGGCAAATACCAGATTAATGTCAAACTAGTTCCTATTGGGCCCAGGTAAATTAGTCACTCAGCATGAAAAAGTCCAACCCATCAGGCTTCCTCTCTACAAGTGTTTTTCTCTGACTAAAGTAACAAAAACTGGAAAGGGACAGACACAACCAAACTCCACAGAGAGATAGGGCAGATGTCTCTTGTAGACAAATTACCCTGAGAGCCAGGCTGATTTTCATTGGGACTTTCCCATCAGCCCTGTTATTTCTTGTCTTCACACAAATCCAGGGACCTGGAATCTATCATGTAGGATTCACATTTTGTTTACTACTTATGTTTTGAAGAATTTCATGAGAAATTCTAAATTCTTGGGGATATCATTCTTTCCTTCTTGTTTTCATGGCTTTGACTTTGCAGCTTTAAAAGTAATTTTTGTTTCCAATTGCCAATTTTACTGTCTTATTGCAATCTATTTATTTGTTCTGGTCCCTCTTTCTCTAACAGGTTTTTGTGCTTCATAAATAAAGCTCTGATCTCTCTCTCTCTCTCTCTCTCTCTCTCTCTCTCTCTCTC